ACCTGAAGCCCAGAAGGAACTTGCCAAGACACAAAGCTGTCTTTGAACAGGGTCAGGTCAGACCCCAGGTCTCCTGCCTCCTAGCTCCATGCTCTTTCCTCTGCCCAAGGCTGTGGCCAGCTAGGCCAGGGGTAGGAGGTCAGGCTAGCAGGCTAGCAGGCATAGGAGGCCAGTGGGGAACACATAGCCAAGCCCAGTCTGGCCAAGGCCATGACCAAGGGCTCAGAGTGGCTGCTTATGCTTCAACTAGAAGGAAATAAACTACATGGAGAGAAAGACCAGTAAAAGGGAGGGCCAGTCCCAACCCCACTCCCACACCCCCATCCCCACCCCGCATCACCCTGGAAGACAGCTTCAGCCAGTTTCTGAGCTCCTTGGTGATTCTGGGAGGAAAACAGAGGAACTGAGGTGGTCCAGGGTTTGCATCCGATCTCTCGGTTTTCCTGCTGCCCTAAAATATTTACACTAATAATTAATTTTTATGTCCAGCCACCTGGCTTCCTTAGGTGGATTCTGTGCCTCCAGCCAGGTTCCCAGGCCATCTCTTAGCTGAGTTGCTCCCAAATAGGAGCCACTGGACCATGGCTGAATGAAGAGGCATAATTGTGGTCATACCTGAGCCGGGGCAGTGGACACAGCATTGATTTTAGAACCAAGTATCCTGGGTTGTAGTCCTGGTTCTGCCGTTCACAAGCTTCGTGACCTTGAACAGATTGCTTTCCTTCTGTGGGCCTCCATTTCCTCATCTGTGCGAAGACTGGACCAAATGATGGCTAAGGATATTTCTGGCTCTAAAAATCTTTAAACCTATGTTGGATTCAGGGAAGGGAGGCTGGGAGAGGAGGTATAGACAGTCCCGGTCATTTTCTGAGAGGCAGTGGCTGGAGTCTCCTGGTCAGAACACATGCTCTGGCTGAGTCCAGCAGGTACTGCAAGAGAGAGTCCCCAGAGAGTCAGCCCCAGAGAAGCCTCTGTGTGCATGGATGCCACGTAAGGACAGACACAGCCCCTCACCCAGAGACTCGAAGGGCTGGACAGAGAAGAGAAGATAGAGAACATCTTTTACCCCCTCCCTTGTAAAGCCAAGCCCGACGTGGGCAAGGACCAGGCAGGCAGCGGGCCTCTTGGCAGCCAGATGGGTCTTGCCAAACTCCCACTTACTTCCCAGAAGCTCCAGGATCCCCTGGGAGTGGCTCCACCCAGCTGGCACCCCTCCGAGTTGGGCACCCACGTCAGCAGGTCCTCACACTCCCTTGTCCTTTCACCCAGTGACAATAGGACAGGAGATGGGGGGGGCACCCTAGGCCCGATACTTGGAGAAGCGTCTGTCTGCCTGAGCATGGCCCTTCTGTTACCACCTCTGCTGCATCCAGCGCAGGGCAATGCCTGAGGCCGATGCCCAAGTGAAACGCTCTCCTCCCAAGGCCTCCCTGCCTGATCACCCTTTCTGGGTGATGCATTGGCTCCCGTGTACCGGAATGAATGCTGAGTCAGAAAGGCCCAGTGGCCTTGGCCAACCCACAAGGCCTCTCTGGACTTCGTGACCCCAACCGTAATATAGAGACAGTCATAATAGTGATCTTGTAAGAAGTTTTTGAGAATTAAGTTAAAAATACATCTGAAGGGTAAGAACTTATTCTTGCCAGGCCCGGTGGCTCACGCCTGTAATCCCAGCACTTTGGGAGGCCGAGGCAGGCAGATCATGAGGTCAGGAGATTGAGCCATCCCGGCTAACATGGTGGAACCCTGTCTCTACTAAAAATATAAAAAATTAGCTGGGTGCCATGGCGCGTGCCTGTAAGCCCAGCTACTTGGGAGGCTGAGGCAGGAGAATCGCTTGAACCCGGGAGGCGGAGGTTGCAGTGAGCCAAGATCACACCATTGCACTCCAGCCTGGGCGACAGAGCAAGACTCCATCCAAAAAAGAAAACAAAAAACAAAAACAAAAAAAACACCCTTATTCTTAAGCCTCAGCCTGCAGTAGGAAGTGAGATTGAGCCCTGGGGGCATCTGACCCCAAAGATGAGGCACATCTAGGCCACGGCTGCTCCAGAGAGGGCAGTGGCTGTGGTGGGGCACAAGGCTCTGCCTGGCGTAAGAGCCTCTGGTTAAGCCTGGGAAGGGGTCGTCCCTTACAGCTGAAGCTAGGTCCTTGCGGGCTGGGGTAGGAGAGGTGGAGGAGGGCCACGAGGCAATGTGGGAGGCGCTGTGTAGAGGAGGGGCTGGTTTGGCTGGGTATGGGGTGAGGACAGGTCTCTGGGGTGGCTGCAGGGTACAGCAAGAGAAGGGCAAGGAAGGGATGTGTGGCTGCTTGAAGCGGGGGGTGGGGGTTTGTGAGCACAGTCACGGTGAGCAGTGAGGCTGCCAGATAGGCGGGCACTGGCTTTTCCTAAGAGATGATGGGCCCCGGGAAGCCACAGGCTATGACAAACACGGGACAAGGGAACAGCGGAGAGGGGGTGAGGGCCCCTGGAAGTGGTACATGGCTGTCTGACCCCATGGAGATGGCCCTGCCCCAAGGCCCACACTCTCAGGTCACCCTTCCCCTGTGAGATCCCACCACCACTGCTTCCATCTCGCAAGCCACAGGTTCCAAAGAACTCTCACGCCCAGTCTCTTCTGTGCTGCTGCAGACAGCTCTGGTGCGCAGCAAGGGTGGGAATTAATAGCTCTAGCTCAATCCTCCAGCGTGCAGGCAAGGCAAGTAAGCCCAGAGAGGGCTAGGGATTTGCCCAAGGTCACACAGCTATCACGTGGTCAAGCTGGGGCTATGTCCACACTACCTACTCCCTGTTGAGCCCCATCCATGATGCCATGCTCTCCCCCCTCCACCAAGTAGTGCTGGCCTGGGGGACAGGGAAGTACTGGGTGAGAAGCAGCTCTGGCTCAGGGCCTGCCTAGCTGTCGAGGTGAGTTGTGGTCTGGCTGCCGTGGCCGAGCTGGCGGGCACAATCTGTTCTCACCCTGCTGGGGCGCAGACGTCCCAAGCACAGCGGCTCAACAGCTCAGCTGTCCGGGTCCCTGGCAAACGGTGACACAGTCACTGGCCTGACGCTGTTGAGGTGGACAGGGGAGCCAGTTCTAAGGGCAGCCCAAGCAGCTGTCCCCAGAGCTCCCTGAGCTTTAAGATCCAAATGGCCCTGGGTTGACAGAGGTGCCAGCTTTACTGGAACTGAGCTGCCCCCAAGCCTGGCTGCTCTCTTGGAAACATGAGAGTAATCTGGCACTTCTGTCATTATTAATCACAGGGAGCCATTACTGAGCACTTGATATGTACCAGGCTCTGGGCTAAGTGATCACACACATCATCTTACTTATTCCTCCCCAAAGCTCTGTGAGGCAAGTGCATTATTAACCCATTTTACAGATGTAGAAACTAAGGCTCAGAGATCTCTCTCTCTCTGTCTCTCTCTCTCTCTCTCTCTCTCTCACACACACACACACACACAGAGAGAGAGAGAGAGAGAGAGAGAGAGCACAAGTCTAGAACAGAGTCACACAGTATCTTGCCCTGAAATTTAATCATCAAACGTCTTCTGGGCCTCCATAGGTTGGCTGGCAATGTGGAAGTGGAAGCTAGAGAGCAATGTGGCAAGGCCCATCAGTGCCATCCCTTCCCCCGAGCTAGCATTTGCTCTCTGTAGTTGGGGATCCTGGAGGACAGAAGGTGGTGGAAATATTGGCCCTGTAGTTAAAAGCTGAACATTTTCAGTGCCACTCAAATAAGGCAGAAATCACTTTTAGCTGTGAGGAATCCAGGAGGACTGCATGGAAGAAGAAACATTTGGTTAAGATTTGATAAGGCTTAGAAAGGAGGGAAATGTCAGCATTGTTTTATTACCGTGATTCTATTAATAAACATAGTAAATATCTCAACAATGAAAGAAGCAGGCCAGCACCAGTAAATACACTTTACAAATGAAGAAACATGCTCAGAGAGGGGGATTAATTTGCCCAAGGTCACACAGCCACTAGGTCCCTGCCACTAGGGATGACTTCCCATCCAGGGCCATTCTCCCTCCAGGTAGCCAGGTAGAATTCTTAACTTAGGCCTTTGGATGGCTGGTGCAGAGGGAAGCTTTGCCTCTGTCCTGATCCTGGCTCAGGGAGGGCCGGGGTGGGGGTGGGGCACAGAGAGGTTGTCTGGCTGATGATAGTAACACATCTGGAAGGACACCCAGGGCTCCTGCTTTGCCAAGGGTTATGCCACCTCCCCATGAGGACAGACCCTGCATCAAAACAAGCACAGAGGAAGACCCCAGGGCCTCTGACTGGAAACTGATGAGGACCCTGGAGCACTCATTCATCCAGCTGTTGCAGGGAGGGGCAGGCAGTCTCCTTTATCCCCTGGCACAGTGGGCCAGCTGCCCCCAGGAGACTGGAGGGCCCCTGTTGCCAGCCAACCCCCTGTAAGCTTTGATTGGCAGTAGGGAAACCATCAAGAAGCCACCCTGCCTCAGTCTCCCTTCCTGTACACTGGATCACAGGATGTCAGAACCATTCAGGGCAACCACCTCCCCTTGTAGTCAAGGAAACTGAGACATGGAAAGGACAAGGAGCATGCTGGCAGCCCAGGACACTGAGCTAGAATCCAGCTCTCCCAGCTGACCTGTGCCCTTCCACGCTCCCTGTGCCGCTGGATGAGTTCTCAGTAGCACCAAGGCCAGCCCTTCTCCAGGCATACAAAACAGTCCAGTCCTTGAGGTCAAACAGGCTCAAGTTCAAACGCGGGTTGCTCTGCTTCCAAGCCATGTGACCTTGGAAGTCACTTAGCCCTCTCTACCTCTTCCTTCCTACATACCTTCTGCAGGAGTCACAAGAGCACAGGAGAAAGCATGAGCAAGGGCCAAGGCCAGTGCACGGGGACAAGGAGCACCCGTCACTGTGGGCCCAGACCCGCAGGGTGGCGAGGCGGTGGGGCAAGGGGGAGGCAGAGGAGGGTTTCTGGAAGAGCAGCTCCATAGCATGTGCTTTCTCTCCTCTGCCACACCTTCCCTCAGGCTACGGGCACGCGGCGCCCAGCACAGATGGCGGCAAGGTGTTCTGCATGTTCTACGCGCTGCTGGGCATCCCGCTCACGCTCGTCATGTTCCAGAGCCTGGGCGAGCGCATCAACACCTTGGTGAGGTACCTGCTGCACCGTGCCAAGAAGGGGCTGGGCATGCGGCGCGCCGACGTGTCCATGGCCAACATGGTGCTCATCGGCTTTTTCTCGTGCATCAGCACGCTGTGCATCGGCGCCGCCGCCTTCTCCCACTACGAGCACTGGACCTTCTTCCAGGCCTACTACTACTGCTTCATCACGCTCACCACCATCGGCTTCGGCGACTACGTGGCGCTGCAGAAGGACCAGGCCCTGCAGACGCAGCCGCAGTACGTGGCCTTCAGCTTCGTCTACATCCTCACGGGCCTCACGGTCATAGGCGCCTTCCTCAACCTCGTGGTGCTGCGCTTCATGACCATGAACGCCGAGGACGAGAAGCGCGACGCCGAGCACCGGGCGCTGCTCACCCGCAACGGGCAGGCGGGCTGCGGCGGCGGCGGCGGCGGCAGCGCGCACACCACGGATACCGCCTCGTCCATGGCAGCGGCGGGCAGCGGCGGCTTCCGCAACGTCTACGCGGAGGTGCTGCACTTCCAGTCCATGTGCTCGTGCCTGTGGTACAAGAGCCGCGAGAAGCTGCAGTACTCCATCCCCATGATCATCCCGCGGGACCTCTCCACGTCCGACACGTGCGTGGAGCAGAGCCACTCTTCGCCGGGAGGGGGCGGCCGCTACAGCGACACGCCCTCGCGACGCTGCCTGTGCAGCGGGGCGCCGCGCTCCGCCATCAGCTCGGTGTCCACAGGCCTGCACAGCCTGTCCACCTTCCGCGGCCTCATGAAGCGCAGGAGCTCCGTGTGACCGCCCCGGGGGGCCTGGAGCGCCTGGGGGCGCGGGCTGGGGACCCCTGCCGGGCGGACCTGCTGCTGTCGGCCAGGAGACTGCCCCCGCCGCCTTCTGCCCAGTGGGACCCCCCACAACATCCCTCACCACTCTCCCCCAGTGCCCCCATCTCCGACTGTGCCTGCTTGCCCCAGCCGGCAGGAGGCCGGGCTCTGAGGACCCCTGGGGCCCCCATCCGAGCCCTGCAAATTCCGAGAAATGTGAAACTTGGTGGAGTCAAGGAGGGAAGGCAGAAGCTGGGAGCGTCCCTTCCCTTTGAAAATCTAAGAAGCTCCCAGTCCTCAGAGACCCTGCTGGTACCCAGACCCCCACCTCCGGAGGGGACTTCATGTTCCGTGTACGTTTGCATCTCTATTCATACCTCTGTCCTGCTAGCTCTCCCACCTTTCCTTGGTTCCAAAAGCCAGCGTGTCTTTGTCCAAGTCACCCCCACTCAGTCCCACTCCCCCACTCCGTCCCCAGCTGTGTCTCCCAACCTCCCGCTCTCTTTGTGTTGTTTTGCATGGCTTTGCAGTTATGGAGAAAGTGGAAACCCAGCAGTCCCTAAAGCTAGTCCCCCGAGAGCAGGTCAGAAAGAAGGGACCGGCAGGCAGCAGGAGGGGTGAGCCAGAAGGCTTGCCAGTCTGCAGAATGGTCACACTGGAGGTTCAAGTTAACTGACCTCTAGCCACATTCTCATAGCAGGTCGGACTTCAGCCTTCCAGACACTGCCCTTAGAATCTGGAACAGAAAACTTCGCCATCCCCAGCCACTGCTAATAATTACCAACTCTTAAATTTGTGGAGTGATTTTTAGCCTCTGAGAACTCTGTGCTGGCCACTGATTGCTTTGAGTCTCACAACACCCTACTTAGGTCATGAAGGCAGGAGTTCTGACCCCCATTTTACAGATGAGAACACTGAAGCCTGGACAGGTGAAGTGACCAGATAGCAAAAGGCAAAGGGGTGGGGGGCTGCATGCAGTGGCTCACGCCTGTATCCCCAATACTTTTGGAGGCTGAGGTGGGAGAATTGCTTGAGCCCAAGAATTCAAGACCAGCCTGGGCAATACAGTGAAACCCCATCTCTACAAAAAATAAAAAATTAGCCAGGTGTATTGGCACATGCCTGGGAGTCCCAGCTACTTGGGAGGCTGCAGTGAGCCCTGATCCACTGTACTCCAGCCTGGGTGACAGGGCAAGACCCTGTCTCAAAAAAAAAAAAGGCAAAGGGAGACCAGAGCCCAGCGTACTTGTTCCTAGCTGAAGTGTTCTTTCCTTCCAGCTTGGCCTGTTCTTGAAAGCAAAGTTCCTGCAGTGTACATCTTGGCATTGTGTGGCTAGCCAGGGCTTAAACCAGAATTAGAAGTCCCGGGGCAGAGGGCACTGCTGCAGCCCAGCCTCTTTTCTTGGCCAGGAGGCAATGGCTCTGAATGGGCCCCTGAGGCAGCACAGGGGCCTTTGTCACTGGGCTGCATGCTTACAAATAGTGCAGTTCGTAGGACTGAAGTAACCAGGACTGGGTCTCATGGCAGAAAGGCCAAGATCTGGGGCTCTAGGACTTTGGAAATTGGGCAGAGCTGCCAAGAAAGCTGGCAGGCATATCCTATGGGACATTATCCCTGGCACCATTGTCGTTGTTGGTGCCTGTGTCCCAAGTACCTAATGATAAGCTGAGGCTGCAGCAGGAAACACCCTTCCCAGGTGGCAGGGTTTGGACCAGAGGTGCCCTCTGTCCCCAACCCAGAAGCCCAGATGGAATGCAGCTGCCGAAGGTGATGCCCAAGGCTCACTGTTGGGGCCCCACAGCTGGAGCTGGTACAGTGACCGGGACAGCATCAAGGGGTGGATGAGGGGCCTCTCCTCCCGCAGCACTGCCTTCCCATGCTGTTCCCCCTGCCAACTCCTTAACACTGCCGACCAAGGCCAGCCCTGGCATTCAGGGAAGCTGGAAGGCAGCACCCACAAGGTTGCCAGCCTCAGGCCCCACCCCAGCCACGTTCTCTAGTCTCTGAGGAACCTGGAGGGGAAGAAGTCCACCCAGCTTGTGAGTCCCATCTCGGTGTTGAGGAACTGGCTGCCCACATGCCAGGAAAGCAGGGCCCAGGCCCTGGAGGTGCCCTGTATGTTTATGTTGGGGGTGGGAGGGCAGCACTGGCTGCCTCTGTCCTGTGTGTGACCCTGCCCTCGAAGGGTCCTGTCCTGTCAGTTCCGAGGGAGCCACAACCAAAGCTGCAGAGAAAAGGTGGGGAAGGGCACAGAAGGCCGTGGGGCACAGCGTGGCAGACTGTCCAGTCTCCGCTGGGTCTTTCCTAGGGACCTGGAAGGCCAGTGTTGCTTTCCCCTCACCCCCTTTCACTGCAGGCAGCCTCTCTGCTTCCCCAATGCCTTATGCCTGGGCATACTGCCACAGAATATGCAATATGTGTGGGTGACGTGCCCTCACGCCCACACCCATACCCCGGGCAGCCCCTGGACTCCAAAGGCAGTGGCCGCCACAGCCTCCCCTCAGCTCTTCCTGCCTATCTGTCTTCACACTGAGAATGGCGCCTAATAAATGCTATCCACGGAGACCAGGCTCAGGCTCCAGCTGCCTCTGTCATCGTTTGCCCTTGCTGCTGCCAGGGAGAGGCCATCTCCCACCCACTTCCCTGCCAGGGTCTACAAACATACCTAGCTGCCGGGCGCTGTGCCTCACGCCTGAAATCCCAGCACTTTGGGAGGCCGAGGTGGGCGGATCACCTGAGGTCAGGACTTCAAGACCAGCCTGGCCAACACGGTAAAACCCCGTCTCTACAAAAAACACAAAAATTAGCTGAGCGTGGTGGCCCACACCTGTGATCCTGCTACTTGGCTACTCAGGATGCTGATGCACGAGAATCACTTGAACCCGGGAGGCGGAAGTTGCAGTGAGCTGAGATTGCACCACTTCACTCCAGACTGAGTGACAGAGTGATACCCTGTCTAAAATAATAATAATAATAATAAAATAAAATAACATACCTAGCTGACTCACTGTGGGCTCACTGGACCCTGCTCCAGGGGCCTTGGGGAGAAGCCTGTGGGTGACACTGGCTTCCCTTTTGGGATTTCCCAGAAGATCCAGATTTTCTTAATGTCCTACTAGAACAGACTAAGAGAGAAACACATTAGAAATCACCTGGTCCTATGAGTAACTGATGCCCACAGAGAACAAATCACCTGCCCTGAGGCACAGCAGTAAGTGGCAGACCTGGGCTAGGAACCAGAACTGGGACTCCTATTCCAGTGCTCCCCCTCCTCACACAGCCTGCGGAGTCCACCTGGACATACTGCAGCTGGTGGTGCCTCCCAGTCAGCCAGGAGTAGGGATGCCCTTCTTCTGCAGGAGGGGCCCCTGGCCGAGTGGCCTGATTGACTAAAACATGACTCTGAAAGAGAGTGCATCACAAGCACCTTTCTTTGGGGTACATTATTCTCTGGTCTAGAGGAACACCTCAGGCTTGGGACTGGGCCTCAGAACCCAGGACAGACTCTGAGAGCAGATCCACCTTGCCCATCTGGTGCCAGCTCCCCGGGTCAACTACAGTGACCCCCAAACTTCAGCCACAGCACACAGCTCCATACCTATCTAGCTCTATGCCTACCTATCTGTTGACCTTTCACAAAATCATACTTAGCAACCCTGCTACAGCCAATGACTCTAATACTTTCTATTCTATTTCACGTTATAAAATGCTGGTCACGACCCACTGAATGCTGTCTCTACCCGCAGGTTTAATACCTGCAGATTGAAATATGCTGGAGAAACAAAGGATTTGGAAGATGGAGACTTTCTCCCAGTCCCCACCCACCGCCTTACCCATGTGGGTCAATTGAAAGGTACAGAGAAGGATCCATTGAGGGGGGTTCAGAGTTCAAAGAAAGAAATGATGGCACCTGCACTCCCTGCCCCCAGAGGCAGGACACAGCCAGCCCTCCTGTGACATTGTTCCTGGTAGCTCCTTGTTGGCCTGTAACCCTCAGGGGGCTTCGCTGCCATTGGCTCACTCACTCCTAAGGCCACCACTTCAAACTCTGAGGCGTACTTACTGCCTTGGCCCACCTGCCTTTGTCTTTCTTAGAACCACTAAATGCAACAACAGCAGAAATAACTTGCTTTTGAGGTCGGCAGTGACCAGTTCAAGGTGACTCTTATTTTCTTAAGCAGTGCTTGGAGGACATAAATGTGCTGACACTTGCCCTCCTTTCTTCATCGCCCGTGACAGAATTCGCAAACAGACCTTGAATGGGTCCCCTAAGGGGCTGCATTTATCCCAGTCTCCCTAGGGATGATCAGCATTGTGGCAGCTGGGCAGAGCAGTGAGGAACTGCACCCATGTCCCTGCTCACAGCTCCCAAGATCTCAGAACTGCCTGAGATTCCAGCGTGGGCTCTTTCTCTCCAGATGATGGCATCCCCACCCCCCTCATTGCTACACAGCATCTGAGGCATCCTGCACTAAAAGATATATGTACAGCAAAACAAAAATAGAAAACCAGCACAGCAGAGTGGAGGTGGGGTATAAATATACTCAGATCCCCACTGATTTGGTTACTCGGGGTGAGCATCAGATGGAAATAGAAGTTTCCGGGGGCCAAGAGAGAAAGAGGGATGTAACGACAATTCCAAAACGTGTCCCATGGTATGCCTCGTGGAAAAAGGGTTCGTTGGTCAAATGAATTTGAGAAAATTCTGTCAACATCACCCACTCATGGAGCTTCGCAAGGCATCTTAGCTTAATAAAGGTTATGAAAAGTCTTGCAGCAAAGATGCTGTTTACCCCTGCTTAACCCGGCACCGCCCAAACTCATTTCAATACCAGAGCCTCTGACTGCATGACATCTCCCCACGTCCTGTATGTCACAGCACATGCTTTGGGAAATGCTGATCTATCGAAATCTCACTGATGAAGAGTGAAGCCTGATCCTTCCTCCTGGCCCCACACTAAATTATAAAAGAAGTTTAGCTTGCAAGTCCTTCTGTAAGTGAAGACCACAACAACATAAAATACATATGTTATTCTCAATTATGTGCCAGATTCAACCAAGGCTCAAAGCAGCCCGCTTGCTCAATATCAGGCAGTAAATTGATGGCAAAGCGGGGATTTGAACCCGGGCCAATGGCTTCGAGGCATATGCTCTGGCCCACCTGTTGTGTACTGTCCCATGATAGTCCACATCTTCAGCAAAGGTTTGGCAGAAGTTCAGAACTATTTACAATGTGGTCATTTCTTATTCAGAACCTCGGTGACAGAGAAAACTGTAATTTAAAGATGTCATCCTTCAAAGATGGCAGATTCTATTGGAGCTAAGAAATCCTATTCCGGCCAGGCATGGTGGCTCATGCCTGTAATCCCAGCATTTTGGGAGGCTGAAGCAGGCAGATCACCTGAGGTCAGGAGTTCAAGACCAGCCTGGCCAACATGGCAAAACCCCACCTCTACTAAAAATACAAAACTTAGCCAGGCGTGGTGCCAGGCGCCTGTAATCCCAGCTACTTGGGAGGCTGAGTCAGGAGCATCACTTGAACCTGGGAGGTGGAGGTTGCAGTGAGCCGAGATTACGCCACTGCACTCCAGCCTGGGCAACAGACCGAGACTTCATCTCAGAAGAAAAAAAAAAAAGAAATCCTATTCCACCTCAGGCCCTCCCACATTTAGGACCATTTAGCTCCTTCTGCAGGATCAGCATTGCCCCCTGCTGCCAAGCCCAATAGCCTTCCCACAACTTATCTCAGGAAGCTAGAGGCAGAGAGGCTGTCCAGGACCAGGGAAGGATGTGTATAGGACAGACATGTTACCAGAAGAAAGACACACTGCCCACAGTGACCAAGCCATGCTCCCTCCCTTGCAGCTCACATCACCATCTCCACTGAGCAGCATGAAGTTGTGGCCCCTCTCAATCCCAAAGCTGGGTTCAGGTAAGAAGGGTGAATGACTCTGTTTCCCAGGTAACCCCTGAAAAGTTCAATCAGTTACGGACTCAGTACATTCCTCTTGCCCAGCAGGGTAGGAGGCTTGACGCTGGAACAACGGCG